CAAACTTTCGTAAATTTCACAAAAATAAAATTGCGCTTGCACTTTTTGATCGTGTTTTCTGAAATACCTATCTATAAAGGTTCTTTTGGTGAAATAAAATCAACTTTGATTTTTTGCAACTGTCTTGGGTTTCTCGACCGTTACAGACATATGCTCTTAAATATTGACCGTCTAACACCTTACAGAGTGAGTGAATGAGAAAGTGACACATTTGCATATTCAAACCCCCTACATTAGAACTTTTCCCCACAACGGTGGTAAGAAATTCTAATGAGTTTGCTAATATGCTAATGAGCTACATACAGTAATTAAATCAAATCTTCAGTCTTGACTGTTATAGCAAGCTGGTACAGTATATTGTCACTTCTACTTAAAGATTTGTAATTCATAAACATTGCTGTTGAACAAAACTATAAAAATCATGTAACACTTTTTAGCGAGCTTTTAGAGAAGTAAACTCGTTGGTGCTGTTAGTGGCCTATCTCCGGCTTCTCAGAAGTTTCATAGGTAAGATAGCATTAATAGTTTTGTAAGCATGTTTTAGAATGGCGAGCTTTTTAACATTTTAAGATAACATTTTTTAATACAAATCTTTAAGATTATTTCTTTGAATTTAGCAGGCTGTACAGGACGCAGCTCATTAGCATATTAGCAAACTCATTAGAATTTCTAACCCCGGTTGTGGGAAAGCGTTCTAATAACTCGTTTCTATGCTTCGTGTATCCACAAGTTAAAAACTAGTATCCAGGGTCTTGTAACGATTGTGAAGAACTCCTTGTTGATTTTTTGCCCAACAATCAACAATGCATGTAAGCAACATTTTTTAGAACCTCAAATATATGTGTCTTTTGGTTTGTGCAAAACCTACCTATATAATTCTTCAAAGCTAAGACCACTGTTATTCTTCTTTTGGATTTCTTGGATGGCATTTTTCAGTAGATTCCAGATATCCTCCACATACTTTTCATCCATTGTCATCTAGGATACACAGGCCATATGTAAACAAGTTAGTAATAATATAAACATTGCATATATATCTACAGTGTTCATGTATCTACACAAACTGTTATAGCTCTTATAGTTTTTTCGGTTAGATTGTAACTAATAAAATAAGTGATTTTTTTTTCTTTTTTGCAATTTCGCTTCATATATATTTATCATTATTTTAGATCTTTTTTTCAAACTATCAATTTGCAATATTGATTCTTATAAATTTATTTTCATTTTAGATCTTTTTTGTAAACTATCACTGACTAGCATTGACTCTATGACTCTCAATGCCTATAAGTCAACAGGCTATTTGAGCTTGAGGAAGTTGCTAACTAGAAGTGCAATGTTTTTTCAATAATGCAACATGTACAGTGTTGGTTATTTTAATTCTCAAAATCAGGTCATTTTAAATAAACATTTTATAAGGCTTCGTGACAGCAAGATAAGGTTAACAGAGTACAATTAGAAAGGAAATAAGAACTTACTGTGCAGCTTATAAAATCCCACCAAGCCCAGAAACATTTAAATAATTTATTCAAATATGTACTTCCACATGAATTTTTACAATATAAAAGTAAAAAAATTACTACTATTACAATACATCAACATAAAATATTACAAAATTAAAGAAAGCATCAAAGAATATAAAAACAACTTAAAAGTTTTGGTACATTAGCGGATAAATTCATATTCATAAGCCATCGACAGCCATGATAGTTCAGGATATATCCAATAGTGACAAAAATTTTCCACAAATGCAAAGTAAAGAATCCGATTTCTAGAATAAATGACAGGTTTGTGTCTCGTAGATACGAAACCTTTCTACGGTATATATTGATAGCCATAATGCCTTAATATCAAATAAATCTCCATATTTAGTCATCTTGGTGAGACAATTTATTGTACTGTATAATTAGGAAACAAAAACAACAAATCTCTCTGTTATATAGTTATCAAGTACAAGAATCGTAAAGGTCTATTTCTGAATGACTTAACATTTCAGGGAATTCAAGTTTGACTGATGTACAGGTATCGTTTGTTAGGATTTACAATTGAAAAAAATGCAAAGCCAGGCGTCGAAGGCCACTTTTTGCACGGCTTTCAGACTTTTTGCAAAAACAACGAAACCACAGACGATAAAGAATAAAAACAATAACACTCTCGATTTGTTTCTGTTAGGACAGAAAAGAGAATGAACGCATAAAAGGAGAAAAAAATATAGGTTTTCGCCAGGTTGCTGATGGCCAACAGGTATAACACTGTATGCCTCATATTTGAGAGCTGGATTCCAAACCCAACCGACTTACTAAGTCTCTTCTGCCTTTGAATTTGCCTTCTTCGCCACAAACTTACTCAACCCACCTCTACATACAAGCAATTTATGAGCATCTCTAAAATATCAATCAAAATAAGCCTAGAAGTGCCAAAAACTTACCGGAAACGCCCGGATCCGCATCTTCGTCTTCTTGTCTGCTCGCATACTCATGGCGGCTGATGTAAGGGACAAAAATCCTTGCCTGCTATAAATTTCCGTTAGTCTTCAATCGAAAACCAGCGATATTTTTTGCTGTATGGTTCTCTTATCTTGCAGTATGAGCGCGTTGTTAGCCTAGGGATGACATTTTTTGGCAAATAAAACGAAATTTAGCGAAAGAAACCCATTCTTTCTTGCTTTACGATGGTCGAGGACCGCCATTTATATATCCCAAGATGCTTTTGGACATGACGTCAACCAGGCTCTGACGCATGCGCTCTGATACCGAATGCGAATGGTCATTCTCGTACCCAGAGCTCCTCGCCTTTTTTTTTTTTTTTTTTTTCACAGCTTTATTTGGGAAAACTAATATTACAATGTATTGAATAGAAAGAAAAAAACTACCCAAACCAAAAAGGAAAGTCACGAACGGGACACGAGACCCATGCAAGGTGACCACCTCATGAATTGTTGAAATAATTAAACATAAAAATATATGCAAAAAATATAACATTGTACGTAAAAATAAAAATAAGAATGGAAAAATAACTTCATTAAGATAAAACTAGTGTACTTTATGAGGATGTCCTTTATGAGGTTAACCTCTATGACAGGGACATACTCGAGAAGCAGACCAGGTACAAGACCTGTCAATATCAAAAACAGAATCAAGTAAAGAAAACTAACGTACTGAAATGTGGTTTTTGAAAGTAGCTATACTAGAAAAACATGTAGAAGGAGAAGATTTACAAATGGAATTCCAAAGTTTAACGATGCGATTAAAATATGAGGCCTGAAAAGTAGACCAAACCACCGTAGCGTACAGATAAATTAAATTTGAAATACGTCATTGTTTTCCCCATTGCTCTTATAGAAATGATTGGAAGTTAGTTTTCCCATAGAAGCCGGTGTTTCGAATTACGAGGAACAACAAATAACCATAAATGCCTCCTCATACGTCACAGCATTAGCATGTGACATGGAAAGACCTTCATAACTTCAAGAAGCCGCACTCAAACTATGTAATTTTTTCGGGTTATTCAACATCTTACTCCATGTAGAATCAATGCTGAGAATAWTGTCAGAAGGGTGATAGGCACTTTAAGAGAAATTCTTTTCGTATTCAAGCGGTGAGCGCCAAAAACTATTTTCTTGAAGAAAGACTGTTGTACAACTGTTGTTATTCAGAAAGTTTAACTTGTTTGGAAGTGGAGATGACCGATGAAAGTGGAATCAAAGTGTTAAACCCAAAGCAAAAATTTGAATCGAAAATGAGGTTTTGGCCTTCATTTGTTTATTTCCCATACATTTTCTATAAAAAAAGCCTGACAAAGCTACATTCCAACACAAATGCAACAAAACATCTTTGTACAATTGAAAATACGGCTTCAAACAAGCATTTTATCATCATAGTACATCAGTTTCTAACTGTTTTTAAAAAAAAGGTTTTGAGTACTAGTGTTAACCCCAGTGGCGGATCCAGGACTATAAGAGGGGGAATTCATTTTTGCAAATCTCGGCACAACAATAACGTTCTCTTGCATCATCATTTTTCCCATGAGGCACATCACTGGCCTAGGGGCGCTCCTGATAAGGATAACCCATCCACCAGTCCCATTTCATATTAAATCTCATGAGTTAGTACCATACTTTTATTTATTTATTTAAAAAAATATAAAAAATCCAAGGTACCAGCCGGTGGGCGGGGTTCATTAGCACCCAATGAACCCCCCCTAAATCCGCCACAGAACCCATAACGAAAATTGAGATCAAAACTCACACAAAGGTCTAGTTTTTGGCGCTTTTTGCCATTATTGCTCGTTATTGAAAAAAAATTCCTCTTAAGTTTTAGGCCTGGGTCTTTCTCTATATCACACACTGAATGAACTCAAAAAAGAAAAGAAAGAAACACATATATCACAGCATTTATTAATGAAAAACCATCTCAACTAACAATGTCCAATATATAAATATCACCTAATTATCACCTGATATCTATTGTTTTTAATGATTTCGGTGCATTGGAAAGCTCGACGTTTGCCCTGATGCCTAACAAAGTTGATTATTAACTTTTGCAATTGAAAAAAGTGACATTTATAATCACACAAAATTACGAATATCAAAGAACTTGTAAACATTGAATGAAAAGTCACTTAATCAAAAAATCTTGAAAAAGAACATACAGGGCACCCACTATAAAATAATATCTAATAATAAGTAATGGTATATTTAACTGTAGTTAATAATTGTGAATTACCAAATAACCTATATGAGATAGAAGATCGAGGCTGGTTATATGAAATATGTGTTATTTTCTTCTTGCAAACTCAGAATTCATTCAAAACCGAAAAACACACAAGCACGATTAATTCATAAAAAAATCACACACATTTCAAGTACCTCTCTAACGAATTTGGTAATTAACTTTTACTAGTACCTTTTACTAGTACTTTTAAAAGTGAATAAGCTTAAGGACCTCAAAGAAAAAGTAAACATTGAACGCCGGAAAAGTCACTGAATGAAACACATCTTGAAAAATATCATAAGCCACCTATAAATATTTATCAATTAACTATAGGCCATTTAATAATTTTAAATTTAAGATAGAAACCGCGCACAATATATAGATAATTTATGGGGCTCGCTATATATATTGAAAAAGTTTTCGTCTTCTTTTTCCACAATCAAAAACAAAACAAACATTTGCCATCCTCATAAGCTGCTGTATTACCCTTAACCCTTAAATGTAATAACACCCATAAATGTAATACCCACCATAAATGTAATAAAAATCAACCATAAAT